TAGCGGTAACCAGCGAACTCTCCTCGCGAGATTCGCGAACATTTTTTGGTCCTTCGAGCCGGATCGCGGCGAGGCTCTCGGACGGCCCATCTCAACCACGCAATGATCACGTGATCTCACGGCCTTCTCGCGCGATCAGGGGCGCGCTAATACACGGGTTCGACTCATTGTTCACGTGATCTCACGACTCTCTCGCGTGACTCATTCGTAGACTGCTCACTACCGCTCACTCCAACGAGACCCCTAACCTCGCTCGTGCCCACTCATGGCGGAAGCAGTCAAGACGGGCAAGACGGACCGCCCGAAAACCCCGGTGTTGGAACTGCCTCAGGGAGACCGCACGTCAGGAAGGACGGCGTCTCCTGCCCGGCTATCTCCGGAGCTCGCGTTGAAGGCTCAGACACAAATGGGCCGGATTACGCTGCTCAAGGAGCTCATCGACTCCCTGCCAACTGTCCCAGCGGGGACCTCGCTTGAGGAGGTCTCCCAGTTTCAACAGCTGGTCGAGGAGACGCACAAGGCCTTTATCAAGGAACACGCCTACCTTGAGGTCTCATGGCCGGCGGCGTTCATTCACGAGGAGTATTTCTCAGGGAACGCTCATCTAGAAGAGTCGCGGTGCTATCTGCAGGCGCGACGGATCATAGGCGTGCTCCGCCACGCATTGTCAGCTCAGGCCGCTCAACCACAGACCAGCTCATCGGCCGGCGAGACCAGACAGACGCGCTCACGCTTGCCGGACATCTCACTCCCGAAGTTTAACGGGGAGTATTCCGCGTGGCCTGCTTTCAGAGACCTGTTCGACAGCCTGATAATGCAGAACGAGCAACTCACGAACGTCGAGAAACTTCACTACCTCCGTTCGTCGGTAGAAGGCGCGCCAGCTCAACTGGTCGCAGGGTTCACAATGGCAGGAGACTCACTTATGCCGTCCTGGGAGCTGCTCAAGGACCGTTACGAAAACAAACGTCTGCTCATCCATGCCTGCCTGGATAAACTATTCGCCAGCTCAACCCCGGTGCCACGGAAGGCGGCGGCATTGGATCGACATGTCTCGGGATTCAGGGAGGCGCTCAAGGGACTGGAGGCCCTCGACGTTAAGGATCAGCTCGGGGATTGCGCGGTGGTATATCATGCCACGCGACTCCTAGATCGCGTGACGCGCGAGCAGTGGGAGAACACGGTCGGAGCTACGCGAGACTACCCCACGTTCGAGAAGCTTGACGAGTTTCTGACGACACGGATCAGGGCTCTCGAACGGATCGAGAGTACGACAGCTCAGCCTGGTCCCAGTACAGCCTCCTCACCATCCAGGAAGTCGGCAGCTCAGCAGGTGGCTCATCAGGCGACTCACCAGGGCGACACGTCGTACCCGTGCGACTGCTGCAACGCTCACCACTTTATCGTGATGTGCACGAAGTTCCGGGAGCTATCTGCGCAGGACCGGCATAGGGTGGCGATACAGAAGCGCTTATGCTTCAACTGCTTGGGACGCCACAGCGTGCGAGCATGCAAGTCCAAGCGAGGGTGTAAGAAGTGCTCGCAGCGGCATCATACGATGCTCCACGATGCATCTGCAACAACGCCGACCGCTCAAAAGCCTAGCAGCTCGTCGGGCACGCCCACCACATAAGAAGACGGTGCAGTCGTCGAAGCCAGCTCAAACGTCCACTCATCCTACTCAACTCTACTCGCCACGGCCTTGGCAGTGATTCGCTCACCGACCACGCAACACTCAGTACGTCTGCTCATTGACACAGGATCCGAGCTCACCTTCGTCTCGGAGAATCTCATTCGGCAGCTCAACATCCCTCGTCAATACTCAGGTATTGTCATCACTGGAATTGCAGGCAAGGAGTGTACTCGGACACGAGGAGTCGTGTCACTCACGTTACGCTCGACACATTCCAACGCAGCTGCCACAATTCAAGCTCATGTCCTCCGGACAGTTACATCAATCTTACCATCGTTCGAGGCGGAACCGGAAGAATGGCCTCATCTCAGGAACTTGGCATTAGCCGATCCTGATTTTCTCATTCCACGGCCAGTTGACATCCTCATCGGCGCAGACGCTTACGGGCAAATCATCAAGCCCAATGTCATCAGGCATTCTCCACTCATGCCGATAGCACAACTCTCCATTTTCGGATGGCTCGTTCTGGGACCAGTCAAGAGAGAAGCAACACGCACATCAACGCACCATGCTTCTACTCAAGTCAACGAGGATGCTCTCAACGAGTTACTGACAAAATTCTGGGTTCAAGAGGAGGTGCCTACTCACGATGTCAACCAACTCACTCCTGACGAGCAGAGGTGCGAAGAGCACTTCAAGGCCACACACTCTCGTGATTCTTCAGGGAGGTACGTCGTCAGGATTCCGCTCAAATCGCCAGTATATCTTCTGGGTGATTCGTACCACGTCGCCCATCAGTGCCTCAAGGGATTACGCAGACGATTCTCAAGGGATGTGAACTATCAACGTCTCTATCAACAATTCATGATGGAGTACGAGACACTCAACCACATGACGAAGGCATCATCCATCTCCAGTCGTCGCTCACACTTCTACCTACCACATCACGGTGTTCTCAAGCCTGACAGTACAACAACGAAGCTGCGAGTCGTATTTAATGGCTCCAGCGCATCAACATCGGGCTACTCTGCTAACGACCTCATGTATACTGGAGCGAAATTGCATCTGAATATCTCAGATGTTCTCCTCTGGATACGAAGACATCGTCACATTTTCGCTACGGACATCACCAAGATGTATAGGCAGATCAAAATTCACAAGGATGACTGGGAGTTGCAACGGATACTCTGGATGGACGATCAACTCAATGAGGTGCCATACCATCTGACAACCGTCACCTACGGAACAAAGGCCGCTCTTGGCCGTCAGGACGCTGTTACAACTCGCAGAGGACGAAGGGCATAAATATCCATTGGCTGTGCCATCCATCACTCATGGCAGGTATGTCGATGACATATTTGGTGGTGCAGATACGATTCAACAATTGCAGGAGGTCGCACATCAACTAAAGGGCCTCTGCATGGCGGGCGGCTTCCCACTGGCAAAATAGCATGCTACTCATCTCGACATACTCAAGACTGTCACCGACAGCGAAGACCAAGGCTTACCAATCACCTTCGACGATTGCGCAACCAAGATACTCGGACTACAATGGCTCCCTCAAGAAGATACCTTTGCGTTCTCAACACAAGGCTCACGCAAGGACGGCAGACTCACAAAACGCCTCGTATTATCTGAAGTGGCTCAGATATTCGATCCACTTGGCTTTGCATCACCCGTCGTGATCAAGGCCAAAATTCTCTTGCAGGAGCTGTGGCTGCACAAGCTCCAATGGGATGATCCACTGCCATCCCAG